ATGGTTTTAGGAGAAGCAGTCGATGGGCTGACGGCAGCGTGGACCCTCCCCGGCATCTGCTCCCACTGGCCATTTATAAGCCTTCCTGGGAGAGGCGAGCCTGGAAACAGCTGCTCAGAGGGGCCCTTGTACATGATGGCAGAATTTCTAAGGCCCCCCCCTGTGCTCTCACCCACACCCGTGTTGGATCCCAAGCATCATCCCTGAGCTTTTTCAAACCACAGAGACACTGGGCACGTTTGACACCTTGCAGGTGCATGACGGAGGGGTTCTGTCCTGACCCAGTGGCCACACGTGCCTTTGCGATGTCCTGCTGAGCCCTAGTTTGAATATAGGGTCATCATTTCAAGTAGTGAGTCCAGTGCTTCCGGCTAACCCACTAGACCACCAGCATGGCCTTTGTGAGGGCTTCCAGGAACCCAGGGAGTCAACTCCCTTCAGAGGACCTCTTCAACCCGGAGGCCCTTTGCAGATCCCACTGGGTGTGTGTCACTTGCCACTTGCCACCTGCAATGGTGGAGATTGTTTGCAGCACCAGAGCAGGGTCCTCTGGACCCAGCCCTCGGCACTGGAGGGTCAGCCCCAACTGTCAAATGAAAACACCTGTCTCAGGGTGAAAGGCCAGCCTGGCCTGCACCTTCTCGGCCTTCTGAGGCCCTCCCTGCTTTTACCAGTCACTTTCCACCCACAGCGTGAGCCAACGACTCAGCTCAGAGCCTTGGCAGTCTGCAGTCAGCATGGTGGGCCTGATGTGGGTGTCCCTGAGGGGTTCCTTCTCTTTTTTTTGGAGAGGTTTTTGCTATAGGGCGCGTGCGCTCGCCAGACAGAGAGAGAGAGACATAGAGACAGAAAGCGAGAAATCACCCCCCAGGGGGGATGGTCACGCCGCAATCCCTTCTCCTCCATTCTCCTCTTGGGATCTTGGGCATGCACGCATACGTGCCTGGTCCAAGTTTTAAGCCACCGGGTCTGGGACGCGAACCGCGGTCGACTACGTGGGAGTTCAGCGACATAGCCATTACGCTAACTGCTGGATCCCCCTAAGGGGTTCCTTCTTTAAGAGTTCATGCTGAGAACAGTGGTGTGGGCTCAGGGCAGGCAGGGGACCGTACTGTCCCAAGGAGTCGCGGATGGAGATTGGTGCCCAGCTGCAGGCTTACTGGTTACAAGGGTCCTCGTCCACGGAACATCTGATTCCATGTGCCGGTTTCATGGCATTGGCACTGCCAAGCACAGGGAAGTGTTCGTTCTTGTTTTAGGAGTGTCCGGTCTGCACCAGTCTGTGGTGCTCCACTGCAATTTCTTACCAACCGCATCTCTGCAGGGAGTTGTCAAGGAGGCAGCCACCAGCCACGCCATCAGATGTCACCGTCTGGAAAGGGCCATGAGGCCTGCAGCAGGGGTCTCCAGGACAGCTCGGCTGTGCCGGAGCTGAGGAGCAATGAAGAGCTGTGACAGCAGCGGCTCACCCACATGCCATGCTGGTGGCGGCCGAGACAGCGTGCCATGGGACCCTGTGATGCCGTCCTCAGCTGGGCCCAGGGCCGTAACCTGGGCACACACTCCTGAGACGCCTTCTGCCTAAAAAGATGTCAGACCAGGTTCCAAAGACAGAGGTCTAGGGTTTTGCTGCCATGTGTATTTTTAGGTGCCATTCTGCTATTCTGATAGGATTCAGGAGATAGTCACTGTCCTCCAGTCTGTGACATGACAGGAACAGCGACAACTGGGCTGTGGAGTGATGGCTGAGGTGACCAGATCACACACAGCCAACTGCGTAGTCCGTGTCCCAGACCCAGCGGCTTGAAAAACATGCCAGGTGGGTGCCAAAATCCCAAGAGAGTGGAGAAGGGATTGCAGTGTGGCCACCCCCATGGGGGATGCCTTCTCATTCTACCTCTTTCTCTCTCTGATGAACTCATGTACCCTCTGGCAAGTTTTTTCAAAAAACAAAAATGGCAATAAACTTGGTTGAGTCAGAATGTGGGAGGTCGAGTATATTTTTCTGGAAACCGTAATACACGCTAAAATGTGAAATTGAGTTTACCAAAAAAGACAATGGGCTTCATGCTTTAAGTACATGACGCTCTGTGTGGAAGGCAGTAGGTTCTTCAACTCTTTCAGCTGAGCGGGCTGCAGGCTTATTAAAAAAAAATAAAAAAGGCTGTGTGTGTAGACAGGCCAACTGGAAGGCGGGGGGGAGAGGGGGGCAGTGTCCCACCTCTGCCTTTGACTGCTCCCAGCTCTGCAGGACTCCCCAGATCTGGGGTGGGGCCGTCAGCAGACCCTTCCCTTCTTGATGTTTAGCATCAGGCAGGGGAGTTAGAATCGGTTACATTGCTCCCCCAGGGCCCCTTTAGTGAGGGACACTGGGCTGCAGAACCCGGCTGCAGAGCGCAGCTCAGCGGAAATCCATTCAGCCACATCCTCTTGGGTGCCCTCAACCAGAGCAGACCAAACTGCTGAGTTCGATGTCCCAGCTTGGCTAAAGCCGCGGACAGCACCCATCCTGTAGGGCCTCCTGCAGCTGGACACATTACTGAAAACAAGAAACATCGACTTTTACACCACAGACAGCAGCTAAGACCTAGGTCAGTTTTTGTCCTTAAAGCTTGTCTGGGTCAAATGTGAAGCCTCTGGTGTTTTTCTCCAAAGGAGGAAATATACCAGCGTTTCCTCTCTTGCCAGTCCCACCCAGCTCCCTCGCAGTCAGCATCAAAAAGTCGATTCAATGAACTGGCACGTGTCACACGAGCCCCCAGACCTGGCACAGGTAGGGGGGATGCCAGCCCCCTGGCCTGGAGGGGGCGGTCCCGGGCACCTCTTCAGGACTTTCAGGCCTCAACTGCCTCCAATCAGCCAGGGCCACCCTCAGGCCCTGAGGATGGTGAGCATCCTCTCACTGTAAGATCAGTCACTTTTGGAAAAGGCACAGGTCCGTTCCTTTTCCAGGCCTAAAAAGAAATGTACCTCATGGGGATGAATGCCACTTCGTGTCCTTCCGGGTAGGATTGCAGTATTTGTGTTCAGTCTATTTTTTCTACACTGTATGGGGGGAAGAAAACCTATGTCGATAGCTATATGTTAAATACTGTGACTCAAGGGTTTTTAAGCCCTAATACAAGTATTTTGTTAACTTCACCCATGTATGTAATAACAAGCGTTGGCTCCTTTGAGGTCAGTATTAATGGACGTATGCTCTTAAAAGCCTGGCTCTTGAACCTATTGGAAACACAAAGGAAGCTGAAATAAAACAACCAGAATGCAACTGCACACATGCACGCACACGCGTACACCACGCAGGACTCGCCTTCCACGTGTCTGTCCGCTCCCCCGCCACACCTCACAGGCAAGCCGTGGGAGTGAGTCTGCCGCTGTTCATTCCTTCCAGAGAGGCCTTCCCAGAGCCAGGGTGGAGGTCCCGTCACCTGGCAGCATTGTGCTCAAGGCCTAGTCCTGTTTAGCATACAGCAGTCTGCTCTTCAGGGAATGACGACCTGTGAGTTGTTACCAAAGAACTTTGGCAACCGGAAAAGTTCTGACCAATTATTTGCACCCGCTGGCTCTCTTGACATTCTCCAAATGGCCCAACCCGAAACATAAATCAGACACCAGTCCACGAGCCTGCCCGGGGTGGTTTTCAGTGTCTGCTGAAACACCTCCTTGGTGCACATCTGTCACACCCTCTGGGTCCACGGTGCCGATCGGCTAAGCCAGGGTTGAGAAGTGTGGGCTTCCAGAGGGCTCGCTGCTGGTCTCGGGCGCCTTACTGCCCCACATATTTAGGGGCGTCTAAGATAGGACCCACCGAGCAGGCTCCAGCGTCCTCTCCAACTTCCTACCTCTCTCGGGTATTTGGTGTGCAGGGGTAGAGGGTAGGGACCAGGGCCTCAGGAACCAGGGGTATGCACAGAAGGGGTACGTTATTTTCCTAGTTATATGAACTGGTCTGAAGATTAGAAAATGGCTATATAATAACCTTGATTTTGAAAAATCGTGGTGGCCTTCATTTTCTTATTAGGAGATGGAGCTGACCAGAGGTGTTGATTTATATCCTGAATCTATGGGGATTTATGCGTCTGGAATGTCCTACTGTGAGACTGATGAATGTAAAACGTTCACTTCAGGGTACAGTTTTGCCTTAATGATTTTAAAAAATAAACTATTTTTTAAAATTATTTGGTGAGTTTTGAGTGATGCTGAGATGAATTTCATTTGGAAGTAAAGCCCCGGCTTAGTGCCTGCGCCCAGAGCAGCCCCCGCACCCCCTCGCCCAAGGCTGCCCTCATTGTGCACGGCCTTGCTCTCCCTCAGTGTAGACGGGTCTGGGACATGGGGGCCCAGAATATGGCATCTGGTCATCTAAGGTGACATGGAACCGGGGCCCGTTTAAAGGTGTGATCGTCTCGAAATGAAGCCAAGTACAGTCGGTCAGTAAAAGCTCTTTATTCCTTTCACCACCCGTGACCCCAGGCCTGGCAGCAATTACACGAGAGCAGTTCCTGTCTCCGAGACCCTGTCTACACAAATACAGTGTGTTCGCAGATCTTCAAGGCACCAACTACTACCTGGAAGCTCTGGGGAGCTGAGGTGCCACGGGGGGGGG